GCTTCCGTTTCTCCTTCAGTTCAGGCAGTTGGAGCGCGGTGACACAGCTGCACATGAGAGAGGAGGGGCCTTTGACACTGGGGAGGAGATCAGATAAGGGCCATACGGAGGTCCCAGCAGTGAAGTGCCTCCAAACGCAGAGATCCTAACGCTTCGATGAGACCAGCCTTTCTTGTCAAGTTTCTTTGAACTTCTTTCTCTGGCAATCAAGTTACGGAAAGGGTAACAGATTTGCAGGAAAGGCTTACATTTATGTCTTGATCACATCAGGCAATCACATTTCCAAGGAGAATTTTGAGTACGTGTTGAGATAGTAGGACTAATTGGTAGAAAAGACTGACAATAACCTGTAAATTAAAACTATAAAGCATGTGATTGTTTAAAAACCCGAGAATCACCAAGTAGTGAGAAAGCGGTGTAAGTTTCTGGAATTATTTTAAGAGAATTCCAGCCTCAAAGTAATTATTGAGTGGTGTGGTTTGTGCTTTTGGTTTGGCCCATCTTCACATTTTTCCCCCCTCTATTTGCAGAACATGAGCAGTTATCAGAGTGGGATGTTGGTATTTTGTAACTCGAGAAATGGAACACAAAAAGTATGTGATCCACTAAGCCCAGAGGAGACTCAAAGCCAAGGGAGACAGCAAATGTACTTAGTCTTGCCTTCAAAATACTTGTCAGAGCTTTCAGTTGTGCTTCTTGTTCCTTCATTACACTTAGGTTGAGCACAGAGTTAAGTATTTGCTGCTCTTTCTAACTAATCTGTGTGTAGAAGTGGCTAGTAACTTTTTATGACAGATAGGTCTCCTTTAGAGTAATCCAAAGTATTTACAAACATTAAGGGTTTGTCTATACGGAAGGTAACAGACTAGGTGCAAACTTATGCTGTGCTGACTATTGTATACCATTCTCCTTGAAGGTAGTGGATGCTACTAGTTGTGACTTTACACTGTGCTAGTTATGTTGGTTCACCTTAGGAATACCGTTAATGTGCCCTGACAGTGGTTCCACGAAGCTCTGTGCAGATTCAAAGCTTGCTTGACACTCATTTCTGTGTATAGGTAAGTCCTGCCAGCGCAGCTCTGTCTAGGAGCTGGCATTGGCTCTACCAGACATAGCGGAGGCTGCTGGCAGTTTCTCACAGAAGTCACCCCTGTAGCCCCCTGCTACCAAAATGTTGCCGGACAAACCCAGTGCAACAGTAGGATTTGAGAAGCCACAGCTGTTCATTATATTGCATGCTGAACACGAAAGTATTCATAAAGAAGTGGTGTGATTAAGAAGAGCTACTTACTAGAAAGATCCAAAATACAGCTTTCGGCCCAAAGGTTGGCTTTCCCAGACGCTTGATGGACCTGCCAGATGTGATGTCTCCTTCAGTCTTCCAGCCTCAGTGAAACTGAAGACTCTGCTACAAGTGTTTATATATTTGAGTCTTTCCTCCAGAAGTATTTGGAGCAGTCAGACAGGAAAAATGGAAAACATAAGCAGAACAACATTGTGACTAAAATGTATACAGTGTACTTTACAGGTGCAATAATGTGTTCCAGATGTCTCAGTGTGTGCCTGTGGGAGACAAGTGCTGGAGAAAGTTTTATGCTGCTTCAGTGGCTCACTTCAAATGTGCTTTGAGAAGACAAAAGTGCTGTTAGCACTGAGGAGTGTTTAAGTTCTGCTTAACTGAGCGTGTCTTTTGATACCAAGTATATTTTAAAGGTCTTTTTTCCAGAAATAATTTCTTTTTGTTTCTTTGCATTTTGAGGTTGAAATGGTATAAGGACAGTTCTGTAATTCATCATTACACTGGTTCTGTTTGAGAGGATTGTGAAGAGAGTGTTAACTGTAAATCAGGAAAGCAAATGAGAATAAAACCTGTTTTCTGGGGTTGTATCATTGGGTCAACCATTTCAGTGGGGCTAGTAGCGGCTCTCAGTTCTTTCAGTTCTTTCAAGTTTATGTATTTTTCTTTATAAAATTTATTTCCTGACACCTGTCCAGAAATTCTGTCAGTGAAAGTTTCAGATACCTTTAAAAAAAAAAAAATGAGGCATGAAACAAATCTAGTTATTCCTAGCAAAAGTTGTAGGTGCTTATTCTGATTCAACAACACTCCAGCTTCACATCAGCTTCTACTAGACACTTGAGAAGCCTGCTGTCTTGCTCTTAAACCACATGTCCTTTAGGGCATTTTAGTATAGATACCTGGCATATTGCTATTGTGGCAAGGGGAGAGAAGGGGGTTTGGGTACTCATCAGAAGTAAGAGGTGCACAACAGCGCCTGTGGCTATTTGAGAGTTGTAGCTACTACCATACCTACAAAAACATGCCCTGGCCAGCTGAATGTATAATAGTTTGGATTGCTAGAAACACTGAGATGTGCAAGCAAAATGTTCTGCCACCATAATGGAGAAGGTGGAGGTTACTGAAATGACAGTCATGCTTGTAAGTTACAGTACAGCGTTTGTAAATGCAAGGTAGGGACAAAGTGGTTCTTGGAGGAAGAAGGAAGAGGAGAGTACCACAGAGTACAGTGACCCCAGGGCCATTGGAATCTGCTTTACTTGGAGGACTTATAAGCTAGGAACAAATTATGTGGCAGTTTCCACTACTGGCGGGGTATATTGCACTTAAATATTTTTCAAATCTGTTCTCCTGCTTTTGCTGAGAAACCAGAATTTATGCTAATGAAGAATACTTTTGTCTGTTCAGTATTGTTTCCCCCTCTAGCTCCACCTTACAAGATTTCTTATTCAATGAAAGTTCACACAGCAGTTTTCTGAGAATCATTGTGAAGAAAACGTGACCAAAAGAAAAAGTTGAATTTGTTTTATCATTCCAAACAAACCACTTCCAAGTCCTCAATAATAGAGTAAAATGAAATGGAATGCAAAGAGGCACAAGGGATACACACATGAAAAGTCAACACTAAAGAAGCTTGAAAAAATTTATTTAAGGCTATCATTTAATATCCTTAAAGCTTAGCCTTTTTATAACAAAGGTTTTAAGAGGGGTATTCACTTCTCAGGCATTTGTAACTGCCAGCCCCTTACAAATAACACATGTAATTGGTGATTGAATCCTTTGTGTGTAAAGTCAAGTTTTTAGAAAAATAATTTTATCCTTATCTTCAGTCCTAATAAATGGAAAATATGAAGATATGGAACTCTCATAGTCTTAAAGCTGTTAAGATAAGCATCCCTTAGACAGTAGGTTTTCCATATATAAACCTTTGGCAACACTAAACTATAGTACAATTATTTCCTGGCATGCAAGGTGACATAGCTCTGTTACACCCAATGTAAACGACAGAATACAGATCTCAGAATCTCTTAATAACTGGCAGTTGATGCAATGAAGGTCTTCATTTATCCCATTTTTATTCTGCACTTCTACTGGTAGTCTCTCAAAAGGTCTCTGGGGAAAAAAAAAAAAAAAGCAGCAGCAATTAGGGCATATTATAAATCTCCCAAGATTAAAGCAATATGTGTGTATTGTTCTGTTTAAGAGTTGGCAGATTAGTTCCACAGACCCCTCAATGCCTCCCTCTATTAACAGCTTGAAAACAATTATTTCTAAAGGAAAAGCTTTTTAACAGTTTCTAATTGATTATTTTCCTAAATTGTTTATTCCAATGTTAAACTAAGAACAAAGACATTAAAATGTTAATATACCCTTGTATTTTAACTATATCTTCTAAATTTTTTGAGACAATATTGGTTGTTTCAGATTTCCAAGATCAACTGTTCATTTTGGGTGCTTCAGTAGTCCAGAGACTAAAAGTATTTAATTTTTACAGAGTGGACATACAGCATAAAGAATCTGGCCACTCACATGTGCCTTGAGTTGGCATTATATTATTTTTGAAACGCTTTGTTAATGTAAACAAATAGTTCTTAAATATTAATCTGCCCACAGAGTTCAGGCAGAAAATGTTGCTTTGCCAACAGCATTTGCCTACATACAGGCAAACTAAAGCGGGGTTCTTAGTTAGGTATCAGGAACTCAGATTACTGTACCTTATTCTCTAATGACAAGCCAAAATTTAAGGCAGTGCTTCATATCATGGTCTTTAAAGTCTAACCCATTTGGTATAATTTGAAATAAATATTTCTGATTTTATAATGCCCATGCAAAGGAGAGTTTTATTCTTCTATAATTTAATATGACTTTAATTCTGTTAACATTCAGTGGCAGAACTTCCCTCAAGATAAATAAGAAACTATTAAATAGGTTAAGACAAAAAATAGCAGTATTTTTCCTATGTGTGACAAACACATTGAAAACCCCGGGATATTAAGAATAACACAATCAAAATTCAGGCACCTTTGGGTAACTTTTGTGTTAATCAGCCATTTTAGGAACTCTTTGGTAGCCATGTCATCAAGGACTTTGTTGATATCACTTGTGAAAGTGCCATCTGCATGTCTTCGGCCCATTTCTTCGGCCACAAGAGCTTTTTCTGGGAAACTTCAAAGGGAAGAAATTATCAAACAATTTGCAGATCAAAATAAACAAATGGTTTAAAAGGGCCTCATTACAGGATTCTAATACACTGCACATTTCCTGCGATTTTAAGGAGTTAAGCGTTGAGCCCCATGCTATGGCTCAGAGTAGCATGATGTGTATCCAAACATCTTTTGAGGCGTTATTTTCACAACAGAATAAAGCATGGAAGTCTCCCGTTACCAGATGGCCCTTTACCTGACTGTTCCTTCAGGTGAGTCTGAATTCCTCTCTAGCATTTTTGAAAAAGCCATACATACAAAACCACATCTCAGTCTGCAGCGTCTGTGCCAAGTAGACTAGGCATCAGTAAAACTCACAATAGATTTACTAAGAATCGTAATTTAAGAAATATCAGTACTAAAATATTAGAGTCAAATTTTAATACTTTTTTTCCAGTTTTAATGGGACTTAAGTCCTAGTCATATTCTTACAATTACATTGCATAAGTATTTAGATATTAGGAGCAGCAACTTTTTTTTGGGGGGTGGGAGGTTTAAAACACCTCAATCACACTACCTGTATAAAGTCTATGTGCTTGGTTGCTGTACAACAGCATTTTATATTTGGAATCAGATCCTGATTCTTGCTCTATCCTTTTTTTTTGGCCACTGGAAAACCATTATGTCAAGAGCCTGATTTAGAAAACTTTCCTCTCTTGTTTAATCCCAACAAATACAGGAAGATTTTAATAGGTTCCATTAGGGTGGGCTGATGCTGAAGCGCACTGTGCTCTGGGACCAATGACAGGCAGATTGGTTCTTTTCATGCTGTAATTTCAGGGCAGGCTATATACAAGTTTGACTGCAAATAAGACTAAGTATTGGAAAGAAGAAGGGTGGTCTACATTTGATTGTCACAGCTAGGTTGTATTTCCCTCTTACAGATACTGAAATACCCTACTTCTGCTCATGAAAATAAAATATGACAGGAAAACTGCAGATATGAACATCACTACAAAGTGACACCAACCTTTCCCTTACCTATATGGCTGATCTCATTTATTGAACTCTGGTTTCTTTTAGGAAATTGTCCTTATTTATAGAACTTACTTTTATCTATTTAGT